TCTGGGTTATTCTCTGAACATGTAAATTCTGCTGAAGTTGCTCTTTATAGATAAACTCACAAAAAGGAAGTGAAAGAAAGCGTTGACTGTGTGTTTGTGTGTGCGCGCGGTGTCACCTCACTGCACAGGTGAAGCTTTACAGTAGATTACGACCACTTTATATTTTACTAACGTGAGCTTTAGGGGACATTTAGTAGATTGTTTTAATATTATTATCATTATTTCCTTACTCAGTTAAAGTTCCAACTTTATGTGCTGGTACTTGTCCTTTTCTTGTCTTGATGTTTATTTTGATTATCTATATGTGTCTCATAATCCAAAGACATGACTTGTAGGTTGTCTGCTCTTTATTCTTTTGAACAGCCGCGAGTTTCAACTGAACTGACATTGTCCTTTGTTATTTTAGAAAGCCATCGATCTTGCCAGCAAGGCGGCTCAGGAGGATAAAGCCCAGAACTACGAGGAGGCTTTACGCCTATACCAGGCTGCTGTTCAGTACTTCCTTCATGTGGTGAAATGTGAGGCATGAGACAGCACAATGGCACATGTGTGATAATGACAGAAATCATAGTTTGATAATAGTCATTGATACCTGTACGTTTTTGTGGGTCAGATGACAGATGACTTCATGTGACTTAAAAAAACCGTGGGCCGTTTTGTACACTTTGATAGTAAGAATAATGATAATAGTTGTATAATTTTAAAAGTACTAAAAGAAGGGTTTCGTTTTAAAGCAAAAAGGTTGTACAATAATTTTTGTTGATTTGTTTTTGTTTTGTAATGTATATTGTGTGTGTGCTGATTTCTGACAGATGAAGCCCAGGGTGACAAAGCAAAACAGAGCATCCGGGCAAAATGTGCAGAATACTTGGACAGAGCAGAAAAGCTGAAAGAGTATCTCAAGAAGAAAGATAAGGCCCCTGCTAAGCCTGTCAAAGAGTCGCAATCTGATGACAAAGGGTGTGTTATTGGGCGGGGCAGTAGAGCAAATCAGCTCATGTGATGCTGTTAATGTCATATGATTGGAAAATCAAGATAAAATATGTTTTTGTCTCCAGAAATGAAAGTGACGAGGGTGATGATCCAGAGAAAAAGAAGTTCCAAAATCAACTCTCAGGTTTGTAACATTTCTTAAATCTTTATATTAATATAAATCAATATAAAGACCACTGAAACCTGATGGCTTCAACCTTCTGGTGTTGCATGCTTCTATGTTAAACCACTCTGTATAGTATGTATATTTTTGCATGTTTATTAGTTTAAATATAAGGCTTGTCAGTAATGTACTCTTTATCTTTTCCCAGGTGCAATTGTTATGGAGAAACCAAATGTTAAATGGAATGATGTTGCTGGTTTAGAAGGAGCCAAGGAGGCGCTGAAAGAAGCCGTTATACTTCCAATCAAATTCCCCCACCTTTTCACAGGTAAATCTCTGTGAATAAGAACCCACTACACTGTGTGGTTCTTAAATGATAGAAGAAATATTTGTGTGTCAGAGTGTAGTAAGTGATGTTGTGGTCATACTAATTTAGATTAAATTACCTCTTTGCTTGACTGACAGGAAAGCGAACTCCATGGAGGGGCATCTTGCTCTTTGGCCCTCCAGGTACTGGAAAGTCTTACCTGGCTAAAGCAGTCGCCACAGAGGCAAACAACTCAACCTTCTTCTCAATCTCCTCATCGGACCTCGTCTCAAAGTGGCTGGGAGAAAGTGAAAAGTGAGCAGCAATTCACAGAAGCACAAATTAACCATATGATTTTACTTTCTATCATATAATGTGCAATATTGGAATATAATATACAAAACTATCCTGCAGCCAGCTCTGGCTGCCATTTCATTTCCTTAAAAGCTTTCCTTTTGCTTCCCAGGTTGGTGAAAAACCTTTTCAGCCTCGCAAGAGAGCATAAACCTTCTATCATCTTTATTGATGAGATTGACTCGCTGTGCGGGTCCAGAAGTGAGAATGAGAGTGAAGCTGCTCGCCGTATTAAGACAGAGTTTCTGGTTCAGATGCAAGGTAGGGTGATTACTAATTATGTATAAATAATAAGAGAAATGAATGTGGGGTTTTTTTTTCAGTAATGAAATATTTGTGCCAGTAAAGTGACTTTTCTATTTCAGTATCTTTCTGTATTTTAAAATTTTACTGACACCATGATGGGATAACCAAATGTATGTAAATTGTTGTTATATGACTATAAGGTACTTATAAGCATTCAAAATATTTAGGTTACTGAACACTGAACTTAAAAATGAAATAAAATCATACCCCATACATCCCTCTTTTATAGCTTAAAATAAATAATAAAGCTAAGTTACCTTTTAGGTAAGAGTAATTACTAAGAAATATTAGAGTTCCCATTTAATCCTGGATGGCTGCATAAAGCGTGTTCACAGAAATATGAACAGTGTAATTCAATCTGGTCTAATTTAGAAGTCATTTAGTACAAATTTTCCATAATCTGCTCTGAATCTGGACTTAAACTCCAGCTAATTTGATCCAGCTGCACAGATGTTATGTCTCTAACCTATGAAGTATCTAAACATCCACTTCTTTGCTCTTTGGCTGGCCTGTAATAGAAATCTTATGTGATTGCAGATTTTTAGTAGGAGGTGTTTGACAGTAAGAGAAGCTCATATTTAATTTGCACCGATTGTGTTTTTGTACAGGAGTTGGAAATGACAATGAAGGCATCCTGGTTCTCGGCGCAACAAACATTCCGTGGACTCTAGACTCAGCCATCAGAAGGAGGTAATCATTATTAGTCATTTATAGTTGCTGTTCTGCTGTCATTCGCCTGTGTGCTCACTGAGGTCAAATAAAACCATCACAGATTTGAGAAGAGAATCTATATCCCACTGCCTGAAGAGCACGCCCGCGCCTTCATGTTCAAGCTCCATCTGGGCTCCACCCCCAACAGTCTCAACGAATCTGACTTTAACACTCTGGGCAAGAAGACAGATGGATACTCAGGAGCAGATATCAGCATTATTGTCAGAGACGCTCTAATGCAGCCTGTTCGAAAGGTCCAGTCAGCAACCCACTTCAAACGGGTATGCCTTTCAAAATGTCTGTTTAATTCTAAACTGTAGTATGCTGTGAATGTTGTAATTAAATATTTAATTTGAATAAGGTACGAGGTCCATCAAGAGATGACCCCAAAGTCACTATAGATGACCTCCTGACTCCTTGCTCACCGGGTGATCCAAACGCAATTGAAATGACATGGATGGAAGTCCCTGGGGAGAAGCTGTTGGAACCTGTGGTATCCATGGTAGGAATATTAAAACCCTAAATTTTTCCACACATTTCCGCATTGGAACATGTTCAAATCTTTATTTTTTCTTTTCCTTTTTCCCACCCTGTTTTCAGGCTGATATGTTGAGGTCTCAGTCCAACACGAAGCCAACAGTTAACGAACAAGACCTGGAGAAACTGAAAAAGTTCACAGAGGACTTTGGACAGGAAGGCTAGGTTGGGTGATTGAGCCAAACCAAGCGAAACCAAAGCAAAGGAATTGTAATTGTGTGTCTTTACTGTTCTTGTCCCTTTCCCCCTCTTCACTCTTTCCTTCTCATCCTAACCATTCACATGACCGCGAGGGTTAGTCAACTGGGTGAGATTACTATATTGTTTTGCCAGTCTGATAACCACACTAAGGGTGCAAGACTCGGTTTTATTTGTTAGTCACTATTTTCCAAAGAAGATTAAAGATTTCGCACCTACATCTGACTTAACTAAAGAATCAACACAACTCTGGAAGATAATTTAACTTGTTCATTAAAGTTTTCGATGAGCAAAATACTCATGCAAATTAGAGAAACTAACTGCAGTTATTCTAAGTAAGATTGAAAACAAAATCATGTATTTTACGGAAAGACTTTCTCTTGTACACCTCAGAAGAAAAGGACTTAGTCTCTATTTTTTAAATAAGAAACAAGCATTTTATAGGCTATGTGGTACTTTGAGGAACATATGTATGAGTTCAAAGAATATTTTGTGGCATTGTTGGTGTCATTGGCTCCCAGTGGTGGATACAATTTAGAGAAAAAGATACTCAGGACGAGCAGTTCATTAGCCTCTGTGACAGTTTTGGATTGTTTATCCACTTTCAATACAAATTATGATTGTGTTTATTCATTTGAAATAAACATGGCTTTTAGGGTGGATCACTATTGGTGCCAGACCAGCATTACTTTCATTTATCAAGAACTTGTTAGCTTTGAATTGCTTTGTCTCACAGCTTGTTTCTTTTGTTTGGTTTTTTTGTTTGTTTAGTTTTTTTTTGTTTTTTTTTTTTAAATACCAGTTGTACATATTTTGTATTTCTGTCCACAGGATTCACTAATTATCTGTAATAGCAACCGAAAAATTAAGCCTTATATTATGACAGCTTTAGCACCTCACAGCTAATAAGCCACGTGAAATGTTGAAGCCTCACACTGATGGCTCAGATGGAGAAATCTTGTGTACTTGACAACATAGAATGCATTTCCAACCATGAACTTTAAATAGCCATAAGTGGCAGTGTGCACCGTGTGCCTTCTACAAAAGTTGCAAGGGCCTTTTTTGTTCCAACTGAAAGGTTATTTCTATTGGTTTATTTCTAAATTTCTTAGTCCTACTGCTAATGTATCAAGTGAATTGTCACTACAACTAAGAAATGTATATTACTTGTACATTTCGTGTAAGTTCTTTTAGAGACAATATACAACCTTAGTCTGTTTCCCTGCAAACTGTCTTTTGATGGGGAATATCTTCATTTTACTGTAAATGTATAAATATATATATAGCCAACTGTCAAGCCTTTTCTTTGTGAAGAGGTTATCAGTGCATATGATTTTCTGTTTTTCATTTCCACAGTGTAAATAAAAGGTAAAGCAACAAAGAGAAGCTGTTTACTTTTTTCCTGTAATGAATCAACTGTGCTGTTGCCAGTAATTTAAGGTAGAAATGTAGTTTTAAAAAAGTTACAGTCAGCCTACCTGATGAATGTAAAGCTGCGTGTGTCAAAAAAACTTGCAAGTTCATTTGGGTGTGTAGCTATTGCTCAAACGGATACTACGAATAAAAGTGGTGGTGCGTTGCATTATGGGAATTGCTGTTCAAGCCCGATGAGCCAACGTTGCAGGTTCCAGAGAGCAAGTGCATGCTTTAGAACTACAAGTACCACGTAGCACAGTTCGGCGTCCGCTAACACTTCGATTTGTTTTGGTTCATGTAGACTGCGCTTTGTCACGGGGGAGCCGAGATTCACCGCTGCACTCTAACCTGGTTGTTACACGTCTGTGACCTGCTACCGAGCTCTGGGGGGAAAAAAACTCCTCCGGGGTTTGCATTTCGCCGCCCCCCTCTTTCAGCACCGCCGCCTACCTCGTAGCTCTCTTATCGGACCCCCAGAAGCTGGCCTGCTAGTTAGCAAACAAGCTAACGATTGCCAGATTTCACCCATGTCCTCTGAAGAAGGGTTCAGCTCAGCGATAACAGATTGGCTTTTTATCAATTCCTGGTGGCTCCTTCTTCCGTTCATCATGCTGCTTGTTGTCGCTGCCTTCATCGTTGCTTTTGTGTTGCTGTTATATATGATATCGCCCCTCATTAGTCCCAAGCCTCTGAAATTGAACGGGGCCCACGTCGTGGTAAGTGTTACGGTTTAGCTGGCTGGTAACGGGCGCTAACGGCTACTCATAACTGCAGTTTTAAGTTAGCCTAGCTGAGTTTAAGGTTAGCGATAGCGTTATATTTACGTTAGGTGGCGTATTCGCACTTAGCCTAAGGACAACAAGAAGTCGTAACTTTCTTTTTCTTTTTCATCGTTTATTTTAATAGTAGCTGAGTTTATTGCGAAAGTCAGGTGTCTGTCGTGACATGCCCACATATGAGCTAAGGAATATTGCTTTAATTAATGCTTCAATCTTACTTCACAACCTGTTTTATACTTGGATCAAGTATAATCCACTGAAATAAAACCAGTGCAGTAACCACTAACTTCAGGTAATTCAGCTTGGTTAATGATAAACTTCGCAGGCAGGCCACTAAAGGTAAATATTGTTTGCTTTACCTTGATGTACCTAGTAAACTCTCAGAGACAACATTGTGGGGTTAGGATAATTTTATTATGCAATAATGCTAAAACAGTAGGAAAAATGACTTTTTAAACGATTAACTTTATTAAAGCTGCATTACCTTTTGAGAAACATAATTAACATTTCCAGGTTAACCTGTGCCCCAGTCTGAGTTGCATTATCATTTACCCTATGTTTGAACTTTGATTTAGGTGACAGGAGGCTCCAGTGGGATTGGGAAATGCATTGCTATTGAGTGCTACAAGCAAGGAGCGTTCATCACTTTGGTGGCGCGAGACGAGGTAAGCACAAACATTTAGCAGATCCTACCTTGGAGTGTAGCCTCATCAACAGGCTGTTTGTTGTCTGAGCGCATCTGATGTCACACAGTCAAACTCTAAAGGTGAACTTGTTCCATGTCACTCACGTGCAAAAGTGCACGTGAGTTGACCCGCATAGAAGCATTATTACATGTTTTCATTTAGTTGTGGAGTTCATGACATTCATAATGATATTTGCAAGCTTTTGTGTGTATAACAGTAAACATGCATTTTATTTTTCCTGTAGGAGAAGTTGCTTCAGGCAAAGAAGGAAGTGGAGAAATTTGCCATCAATGACAAGCAGGTATGGGTTCAGTATGTATTTCAGTAAAAGATGCCTTTTATTAAAGAACTCATTAAAAGCCTACATGCATAATCTTTCCTGCACACATTTTCCAGATGTGTAGGCTTAGAGAAATGATTAAAGTAAAGATAAATCATTAAAAACGCCGCATATGTAGGTTGTGAAAAGTGATTGTATTTTGCATTATTAAAATCTTGGTTTCCTTATTTAGGTGGTGCTCTGCATCTCAGTTGATGTTTCCAGTGATTACAGTCAAGTGGAAAACGTGATAAAACAGGTAGTGTTACCCTCTAATGGAACATAGCTTTAATAATTAAGAAGTACAGCAGTGACTTTTTCCTGTCGTGCAGGCTCAAGAAAAGCTAGGTCCCGTTGATATGCTTGTGAACTGCGCTGGAACTTCAGTTTCTGGAAAGTTTGAGGAAGTGGAGGTAGATCGTTTTAAAGTAAGTACCTGCAGTCATTGGATTCTTTAAGTTCCAAGGACTTTAAGCTTCTCATAGTAGTGCTAAAAACTGTTTAGAAGTATACAGTTATTCATTGCTGATAATTACAACAGGGTGAAAGATCAGAATAATAAAGCTGTGTTGCAGGGGTGTGTTTTTTGTTTTGTTTTTTCCAAATTGAATCACACATGAGAATCGGTTTTTCCTTGATTATAATAGGCTTTTGGTTAGGTGAAACACATGTGGACTGTTCAGTGTATTTTTCCATTACTTCTGGGCATTTGCTAATCATAAATGTATTTTATGAATGAGCAAATTAAATCCTCCATAAATAAATGATTAAATAGATTTTTATAACCTGAGGGGGAAGGCCATTATATTCTTTGGGAAGCTTCACAATTCTTTCTTATATGAATGGAAAAACCTGCCGCGAATTTAATAGGTTTGATCGAGAGCATTAATTTCTTTAAAATTACTTAAAATTATTGGCTGTCGACAAAATACATGTGCACCAAAGCAGGAATTGGGTCTTTTGAAATGAGTGTCATACATTATGTTCTTATTAGAAAAGGTTTGATTTGTGACTTGGTAAGAAATCGCATTACTGTCAGAATTTCTGAAGAAGTGGCTAAAGTTATGGCCTTTGGCCTGCTGTGAATCAAGAGACTTTGAACTGCTCAGGTTTTAAAGTGACTGAAGCTGCCTACAATTATGTAATGTACCATGGACACTGGTTATAGTTTAATGTAGTATTAATGTAGCCTTCGTTTCCAGAAATTGATGGAAGTGAACTACCTGGGCAGCGTTTACCCAACACGAGCTGTCATAACCACCATGAAGGAGCGAAGAATGGGCCGCATCATGTTCGTTTCCTCCCAGGCGGGCCAGATTGGTCTGTTTGGTTACACTGCCTACTCCCCATCTAAGTTTGCCCTGCGAGGCCTTGCAGAGTCGCTGCAGATGGAGGTATGTGTTTTGCAAAAATTGCCTACAAACACGCTTGAAGCAATTCTTAGCATTCCTTAGCATAGAATATGAATGACATTGCACAACCAGAAGTAGGCAGGACTGAAGATAAACTTTTCTCAATTTCCTTCAATTGAAGTAACTACCAAAGAGAATGACATTTGATCTGAGAGTAAATGCATTAGAGGTTCACCTAAGCAGCCAGAGCCGGGAGTGTCCACAAGCACCCAGCCTTCATATGCAACAAGCCTGTATTTATATAGCGCTTTTACTAGTCCCTAAGGACCCCAAAGCGCTTTACACAACCAGTCATCCACCCATTCACACACACATTCACACACTTGCAGTGTGTCTGCAGCTTGAGTGAAGATGATGATAAGGGACATTTCACTAGAGTCAGTGCTGTAATGATTATACTTTTTCTACATATAGGTAGCATTCAGGCTAACTTTTATTGCTTGTCAAAGAGCTGTTGAAATGTTAACGTATGTAGTTAGTTGTCATGGTCTCAGTAGTGGAATTGCTAAGGCAGTTATTGCTCTGTTTTCCTTCTGCAGATAAAGCCCTACAATATCTACGTGACTGTGGCATACCCCCCTGACACTGACACTCCAGGACTGGCTGAGGAGAACAAGACAAAGGTATGCAACAGTACAGAGAAATACTTACTTTTCTTACTTCCTGTTTCTTTATGTGAATTTTCTTGGAGGTGTTTTCCCTTTATTTTCACATTTTAGACTGCTGCTTAAATGCTTGCGGTCTTACCCCCACCCCTCTCTCTCTTTCTCCGCTTTCCTCTCCCAGCCTCTGGAGACCAAGTTAATCTCTGAAACCTCTGGAGTTTGTCAACCAGACCAAGTGGCCAAAATCATTGTCCGGGACGCAGTGGTAAGAAGCTCGGATCACATTCAGCGCCCAGTTTAAAAATGAGATGTGTGCTCTGTATTTTGTTTGTTTTTCCTTTGGCAAATGTATCTGCTTGTTTTTCGTTCATCTCACAGCAGGGGAACTTCAACAGCTCTGTTGGTCCAGATGGTTACATGCTATCAGCGCTCACCTGTGGAATGTCACCCGTCACCTCCATCACAGAGGGTCTCCAGCAGGTACAGCCCTGTACATGATAGGAAATTGCAGGAAATTGCTCCTCAGCAGATCTGCAAATTTAAGCCTAACCTTTTATTTTGAAATTCCCGCACAGATCGTCACCATGGGATTGTTTCGGACCATCGCACTTTTTTACCTGGGGAGCTTTGACAGCATCGTGCGCCGCTGCATGATTCAAAGGGAGCAGTCAAAAGCGGCCAATAAGAGGGAGTAACAGCAGCCTTACCTTCACCTCACCCCGATGCCCCCAACCCTCTACCCACTGCCCACCCAGCCAGTCCCTTCCTCCAGCTGTACAAGTGCACAACCGTAGGTGGGGGTGGGGTTAAAAAACAAAAGGCCATGTCAGCATTTCTGATGTCAACTTTAGCAGATGGAATGGAAGAAAGTGGCAGATGTTTACGTGTCTACTCCACAGACTTGATAGCCATTTAGATGTATTTTTTCCCCTGGTGACTTCAGTTTAATGTGTCCACCTGCTTCTTTTGGAAGCAGCCTTACTTTAGAGGAAAGAGGGGTGACTAAAAATCCCACATCCTGATTTCCAGTATCTAGGCTTCCCTTCTTCAGTTTTTTTTTTTTTTTGGTTCCCACAGAGAAAAAAAGCAACAGCCCGTCTAACCGGTTGTGCCAAATATGGCCTGAATTTTTTATTTTTTTCCCCACCAGAGGCTATAGCGAAAACAGAATAGTTGTTACTCTCTTTTTCGTCATGTTGTGCCGCATGTATCAGAGATTTCCATCTTTTAGAGAGTTTTTACAGTTTTCACTATATAAGCCCTTTCTTTCCCACCTTTTCCATACTTCAGGTCTTTGCAGGCAAAGATCCTTCCCTGTTTTTTCTCTCTCTCGCTCTTTTTTGACTGAATAACCTCTGTGTTTAAAAGCGGTCGTGACCCACAGTGATTTGTTTATGCTGCGGGATATTTTTGTTTGTGTTTGTGTGTGAACTGAGGTCATACATTATACGACAGTACTCTTCCATGATATCAAAGGGCAGGAGAGAGCTTATGTTTGTCTTTAATTTTTTTTAAATCTATAATTCATAAAATAATCTCCACATATTATCATTATTATTAATAATAGTGATAATTTTCCAAAACGTTACGTGCAGCGTTGTCGCTGAAAGCCGTGGGATGTGCAAGTGTGTTTGCTGTGACTGAGCCGACCACCTCCGGAAAGAGTAAAGCCATTCGAAGTTTTTGTCTCGGGAATAAAGACAGCAAAAACGTTTTCCTCGTCATTCCAGCTAAGTGAAGAAAGTAAAGCAGGTACTATGGGTTGAAGCCATGAAGTCGTAAGATTAGAGTGGGAGGGGATACACAAACAAATAAACCAGCACATAAATTTAAGTTTCACTCATGCACTTGTCAGTTTAATTTAAAAAAAAAACAAAAAAAACAAACACTAATAAGTTGCTAAAGGAAGCATGAAGCGTATCATTTTTTACTTGCAGTTTTTTGTGTCAGTGCACATTCTCAGCCATCCCCAGTGAAGATGCATAATCTGTCAGGTTGGTGTAACTCAGAGATGGGCGGGACTCGCTGGTTCGAGTTGTCTCTGTACATCTAGTGAGGGCGCTGGTGAGTCATCTTATATAATGGCCAAACTTTTGGAGGAACAAGAGTGGAAGTGTTAGCCCTCATCTCTACCATGCTCTTTTTTTTTGTTGTTGTTGTTGTTGTTGTTGTTGTTGTTGTTGTTTTGTTTTTTACATGCACTGACGCTGTCGTGCACTGCTGGGACTTCAAAACTCTCTAGATTACAAAATATAGATTCCCTTCTGATTTCTGTCAAGTCTTAGTTACCATCTGACTTTCTTATTGTTTTGAATGCAAAAGGAAGAAGAAAATACAATGTTGACTCTCGCAAGTCTTCCTTTGGTCCAGTCGGAGAGAATGTACTTTATAACAAAGCGATACAAATCAGAACATAGGAACATTATTTTTTAAATACACCAATATTTGAATGCCAAAATGTGTTAAGACAATTTCTTGAGATCGCAGCACATTTATTTGTGGTTTATTTTGATGTCGCTGCTCTTTTGATCTTAGTGTTAGTTTATAAAAGCTGGAGAGCAGCATGCGGCCCATTCTACAGCCTTAAGACGTGACTACTGATGAAGCGAACGCTATGAGAGAGTGGACCCGTCCGCAGAACAATGTGACTTCATACGTTAGTGGATGATTGGTTTACTGGGTGATTTTTTTTTTTTTTTTTTTTTTTTTTGTGACTTATTTGGTGTGAAATGCCAACTGTTTGGGGGGGGTTGGGGTTTGTGTGTATGTGTGTGTTTGGTCAATTTCTAGTGTTTCTATGACAAAAGAAGCCTTACTGAAATCCAAGACATGAAATTGAGAATGGATGACTCATGTTTGATGATGTTCTCATTTGATATTGGTTAAAGGCGTACTGTCCCGCACTTGAGAGCTTTCCATAAATATACATTTATTGCTTTAAGAAGGCTTTTCTTTTTTCTTTTTTTTACCTTGAGGTAGCAACACATTGATGGATAGAACATGTAGCTCATGTAAAAGCAGTTTTGTTTTCACTAACACAACTTTAAGCTATGCAAATGAAGCCTCTGCTAACAATATGTTTAAACGTACAGTAAAGATTTAAGTTCTGTAAGAGTCACGCTAGTTTCCCTCGTTTAATGGTGTCATTATCGGATGCTCAATGGATTTAAAAGTCTTGAACATGAAAGTCATACTGCACTCTTTGGTTTCACGCTTTTTTCTGTTTTCTTTGCTTTATACTCTTTCTGCCAAAAAAGCTTAACACCTTCACCTTGTGTGCCATTGAAAGAAAATGTGAGGAGTGGAACATTTCTTTGTCTTATTTTCTTACATGATAAACTAAATAAATACCTGTGAAGAAAACCTAAATCCTTTTACTCCTGGGTGTCGTTGTCTCTTCTTAAATTGCTTTAGACCTCTTTGACTGAACTTGCCTTAAGGGGGGAGGGATGATTAAATCTCAGCATGATCGTGGTTCAGAAGTTTTGACAGTGCAGGGTTTGTGTAGGACTGAGGACGTTAAGTATTCTGTTTGATAGAGGATGACATTTAATTTTTTCATAAGGGAACTTCCCAAAGCAGCAGCAGCTCTCGGGTTTGCAGAGTGCAGGACTTTAGATGCTTCGTTAGACCTGTGGGAGAATAAGTAGATGACAAATAGGGGAGATGCTTTAAAAAAGATGAGAAAAGTTTAAAGAAGACAGGGAAAATGTAGACTGGTGCATCAGTTTTGCACTTGTAAGGTTAAATCTGTGTCCACAAGGGGGTGGCTGGACTACATCAAAGCAATCCCTCGCCAGGGTGGTCCTCTGCCCCTAACCCTGTGATCTTTTAAGATTTCTGTCTTCGATCATAAAAAATATCTAAATCTTAAAAATATTCTTGTTTATATAATTTTCTGGGTAACGTGATCTGCCTTAAAACGAGGATGCAGTATGCAGTAATAATAATATGGCCTATAAATGGTTTGAGCGCAGTTCTTGGTGTGCACTTGGAGCAGCCAAAGGAAAGACTTTCCGCAGCTGACGTCAGGCATACCTCACTAAACAGTGCGGCCCACTAGCGGTGAGCAGGGAGCTGCTTCGGAGGATATGTGGAGCAATCGTGGAAGAGGACTCCAGTCCGACCTTGTCTGGCGCACAGTCCCGCGTCTGGTTCGTGCGTAAGGCTGCTAAAACAGTTGGCCGCCTTTAAAACCCCTTCAGGCGTGAACAACTTTGGCTTTCATTCATATTTTTTTTAATCGCAACACATCCACGTCTGGGTGATGTGCACAGAAATAGAACAACACTACTCCCAACCTCTTCCGCATATTGGATTTCTATGCAAAGAGAAGGTCGCCAGTGTCCCTCCAAGGATTCGGGAAATGAAGACTGCTGCTGACACGGAACCAGCCTATTTTGACTTCTAGTGCGTGTTTCTGTGCAGTTTTTTTTCAAGGGATTTTCCCCGAGTTCACGAGTAAAGTATCTCCTCTCTGTGTGGGATCATTCGCTGCATTACCTATTTGAATACAGCCCCAGCTTTTTGGACGAGCCTGTGCAGAGCATTGTACAGTGCACACATTTGGTCAAAATGCATTTTATTTAGGATAACCACTGGATATACAAAGTGCCAAATTTGAGCCGGAATGGCGAACGAGTATAATCGCAATATTGTGGAAAAGTATATCTGCCATAAACTCTCCAAGCGGGGGTTCGTGTGGGGATTTCGCGTTGTCCAAGAAGAAGATGCTGCTAATAACGGATCGATAACTGACCCTCCACCGACTTTGGTCCACCGGTGCCGAGAAGCCAGCACCGGGCCTGACGGCGAGAGCAACACCCACCTCTGCAGACGGCTCCCACAGTCCGACCCACACGCAGGCATCCACAGAGTCCTGCGCGAGGCTGGAGATGAACTTGAAAGACTGTACCAGCCGGACTTCACGGAGATGTCGCGGCAGCTGCATCTCACCTCCGCCACGGCGCAGAGGAGGTTCGCCGAGGTGATAGACGAACTGTTCCGGGACGGGGTGAACTGGGGCCGGATTATTGCTTTCTTCGAGTTTGGGGGCACTGTGTGCGTGGAGTGCGCTTCCAACGAGGGGATGTCATCCCAGGTGGACAACATCGCAGACTGGATGACGGAGTATTTAAATGGACCTCTTAACAGCTGGATACAAGATAACGGGGGATGGGTATGTCTGATTCCGTGTAGTTGAGCGCTTTGCAGCAGTGTGCCAAGGGGTCGCAAAAGTCCTCTTTTAACTGTGATTAAAAGGAATTTCAGTGACTTAGTTCGGTCAGTGTAGGCCTACATGTCTGACTGAGCTGAAAAGTGCATTTTGATCTGGCTTAACGGGGCTCAATATCGAAACCACATGTGTAGCTGATCATTAAAAAAAGAAAAGTCCCTTTTAGGGTGATCTCGTGACGCACGTCAGGCAGCGAGCGAGATGAACGGCTTTACTTTACTTGCTCTAACTGGCTGATCTCGTTGACTGTTAAACTTACTCGACCAATCAAACAGCGGTTTCTCTATCACACCTCCCGACGCGTCTCTATAAAAAACCCGCCCTGTCATTTGTAGAAGCAGAGGCAGACCCGCAGCTGTCATTGGAGCACAGAGGTTATTATCTAAGGGGAAGTAAAAGCTTAGTTATAAAAAGAAACAGGATTGTGTGTGTGGTGTTGGAGAGAGAGGGCATTTCACCATCCACCTGTATCTGAATCTTCATGCAGGAAAGTGCTTCAGTCCCGCTGTCACGTGAGGCATTGCAGGCCCTCATTCTTGCAGAAGGGAGGAGGTCAGACACATGTCAGCAAAGAGCAAAATATTGAATTAATGTGTTTAGGCCTCTGGGCATAACTGGACAGGGTTCAGCTTATCAGAGGCCCTTTTTTTGGCAGAACACACACCTGGCTGAATGCATGGCCACACTGAATCTGAAACAAGCATGCATTGTCATATTAATTTTTCAGGTTTTTATTACAACTGCAAACCCTCCTACAAAAAAAAGAAAGGGGGCGGGGTGCTGTGCACCTCAGTAGCCACCAAAACTGACTTGCAATGAATTAACCTTTAATTAGCCGAGGTGCTCTTAATGAGAGCATAACGGTTGCACTGCCTGGTTATCTTAGCTGGAAGGTATCATAAAAATGGGGCGTGTGTTGAGTGGGCTTATCAATGATTCATATCGAATGTTTCATCTCAAAGGATTAGACCGTTTAACATTCCCCTTGAGTCTGCCTTGCCCCTGGAGGTGGCAGGTTGTGCCACATATCAAAGGGAGGCAACAGAGGGAGGGCCCTCCAAGAACACAGAGTGCTAATCTGCAGCCACTGTGTTTAACATGCCGTCCTCTGTTTGCATCTTGGTTGGAACTCTTTTGTCTGCCTTTTTCAGACCTGTGCCTTGAAGCTGGCGCAGACTGGGGCCGCAGAGATGCCTGCTCGGGGTCTCTGGAGCCCACTGTAGAATAATGTAGGTCATCATAGTTTGGGTTTTACAGCTGGGTGGAGATGACTGTATCTCTACATCCACTGGAGACAGACAGAGAGAGAGAGAGCAAGAGCACAGTTCTTTAATCCAAAGGATTATTTAGGATTATTTGAAAGCATATGTCTGCAGTATAGGGAATGAATAACCTCATCCAATTAGTTTTAAGCTCAAAGTAAGCTCTAAAACAGTTTAATCCTGAATATGTTAGTGTTGGCTCAGTTTCTGCTGTAGCTTCCGCATATGCAGCCATGCACCGGTGTTGATTTATATTCATCTGAACGGGTGTCAGGTAGGGAATTTCCTGAGGTGTGTGCTTCAGTTATTGCATGACCTTTAATAACTGACGTTGCAAACACAGCGTTGTCTGTACTCTGGATTGGGTTTGTGAAAACTGGCTTTGCAGATGTTGAAATGTAATAAAAGTCAACTGTGTTTTCAGTCTGTGAAACAAAGCTGGGGTTTTTTTGCTATGTTTTGTCTCCTCCGGAGCCAAAACGGCGGCCTGTTATACACTGACGTGTTTGTGTTTTTGTATGTTTTTGAGAATGTCTGCTAAACATCGGGTTGATTTTGTACTGGCCTCTTCCTGAATTATGAATTCACAGAGGATATGCAGAGACTGTTAATCAGATATCTCTCAACAGGGATCTCAAGGGCATAGAGGGGATTTTTAGAGATGTTTTAGATCATGAAAACCTGTCCAGAGGGTCAGGGTTAGCAACATTGATTTAAACATTTCTTTTCATTATTTTCAGTTTTTTAGTCACTCAAGTTCTTAATTTTCTTTTAATAAATTAAAAAAAAAAGCTTTTTTACAAGAGGTGAAATTTCAGGTAGGGGGAGTGTATAAATGAGCCTATGAAGTACAAAAAAAGGGGGGAGAAAGGATGTGACCTCAGTTTCCTCATTTGTAGCTGCAGAGCTCAGTGGGCACTAAACAATGGCTGCCACTGTTTGCAAATGATCTGGTATCCATTATGTTTTATTGTGAAAGCTTTGCATTGCTGCAATGAGACACATGTGCTACATTTCTGCATTAACCTCACCTGGGTCACCTGTTTTCTAAGGAACATTCACGTGCCGGGTGGCTGTAGCAGAGGAATGAGGATAAAACAGGTTTCACAAATCAGTCGTTTCTCATGAGCTCACTGTCGTTTGTTATAGTGTTCGACCTGATAATTCTAAATAAAACTTTTTTAAATGGCATTTACACATCTTCCAAACAATGAAGACACTCGGTAAACACGGCTAAATGTGTGTTTAGACAGGTTGCATTTATGGTCACTTACCCTGTCCATTGTGTTATTGTGTGGAAGAGGTGAGTGCTGTGTTTTCCACCATTCTAAAAACAAAGGTGGGTGGCTAATCAGCCTATCACTGACATTTTGACATGTAAGAGTGGTGTGGAAACAACTTTCTATCAGCCACCCTCTGTTTCCTGTTGTTTTTGAGACAATTTAAGCCCAAAATAGTGTGAACGGTACCCACTAATCATTGTTGAGTCTAAGTGTTGCAAGTGAGTCAAATACACATTTAGTTCGGTGAAAATCTTCCCTTTAAAAAACTGACAAAGCAGCGACTGTGTTTGCAAAATCTCAGCTGAGGGGCCAAATGGCTCCCATTCAGCACAGATTGCTTCCCACACCCCGGGATGTGACACACCGTCCTTTCATTGTCCCTAACATTCAGTTAGAAACTCGGCCTTTTTGTTGACAGAAATTGCACTCAATCAGGGAACGATTGCATTTAGGCTGCAGACTCACCCACACGTGGCGCACCTGTGTTTATTTGCAGGCGCTTGCAGTAAATACCAAGTGATTGAACAAAGTGGCAGACGGCGTCCGAGTTCCGAAATTACATACTTGACCTCAGACGCTTGACTGGCTGAGAGGGCGGCACGGAGCGAAATGCCAAATTGTGCTTCAAGAGAAAAACAGCAGTTTCATAACTGGAGGTTAACCAAGAGCAGTGTCAGATATGATGTTGAGAAATGATTTTTCTTTATCTTTGTTGTTTTTAGTCACGCTCTAAAGATGGCATTGCTTCTTGGTCTTTCTCAACAACCCTAATTTGAATTCTCCCTAAAAAAAAAAAATGTGTATGTGCTGTTATGGATGAATCTCATCATTCTTGCAGTCTTCCCTGTGGCCACCAGTAGGTCAAAGTGATCTCTTACCCTTTGAAAACAGCACTATTTTTGATGGATTTGCACCAAGTCATTGTGCAGACATTCAGCTGTTGAAGCCACAGAAGAATAATGATCATGGCCTCTCCTGTAGTTGCACAATGTCATAAAATTGGGTCCACACATTCATCAGAGGGAACTGCCATGATTTTGTGCTCCGTGTATTTACTTCTAAGTTGTGGAAATATTCCTCAGATATGCTAACGTGCCTCTAAATCCTTGCTTTTCTATAACAAGTGAGAGGAAGGAGTTAAATCACTGAAAAACCTTCTTTCTTTTTTTAAGCCCCAAACAGTGAGATCAGGTGTCTGTGGAATGCTGCTAACCAGGTGGTCTATTTTCTGTGTCTCCCAGGTGTGTGTGTGTGTGTGTGTGTGTGTGTTATGAAAGACAATGTGCGTTTGGGTTGGGTCCATCCTGTGGGGGTTTCCCAGAGCACAGTCTGCTCTTCGATGGGTGGGACCAGCATGTTGCTATGGTATAGCAGGCATCTGGCTACGGCGCCTTGCTGAGGCTGAGTGGATGTGGGACAGCAAGGAAGTCATTAATCTCCATCTAGGTGACGTTTCGGCAGAGTAGAGACAAAAACCCAGGAAAAGAAACCAAACAAACAAACTAAATCACAAAGGAGGCACATGCAGCCATTCACAGGAGAGCAAAAGAAATTCTCGACCAGGTCTCACTTATATCCAATTTGCGTCTCCTAGATGCAAACTCAGCCTGCTAAACGCAAGTCAATACTAATCAGGGCGCCATTCAGGAACTGTTTCAGCTATGCTTCTTTTAGCTTTGAGCTCTTTTTCTAACACAAAGATGTCTATGTTGATGGTGAACGCAGCGCTGCCTCTGAGGACACATGCTTTACAGCGTAATGAGCTCTGTAAGTCATGACTGACTTACATCCACTCTGAGCTAGTATTCCCTTCTTGTCATGCGGCGTGCTGTCACACTCAGTTACACCCTTTTTTTCATCCATTAATTTGTAGCTGTTTATCAGTTTTTGGTCTCTCATTACTGTGTGAACGCTGCCTTCTAGTTCTGAGCAATCAGACCGAGGAATAAATGATTACTCGCGCAAATAGTATTTTAGGCTTTCTCCCTCCCACCCCGTCAATTAACACTGTCATTCTACAGCTGGAGACGCAACAAAAATGTAAATAGCAAACAAAGAAACAAACTAAATAAGAATCAGCTTGGAGATTTTGACAACAACTTTACCGTTGGATGTGTTTGAGCTCTGTAATGGAGACTGTGCACCACAAAGGAGCTTAATGTGGCGAGAGGCAGCCAAGATTTTCCCCTGTACTGTACCCCTTTTGCTTGGGAGGCCTCGGTTGCTCACCATCTGCCACTGTGTTTACACCCATCAGCACAGCATCTGTAATCTCAGGAACATTTCCTACAGACGTGGGCTGCTGCGGGCCGCAGCTCTCTCAATCAGTCCAACAAGAACATTTTTCTTCCAGCAATCTCTTCGCTATCTGTGTCTCAAAGACGTTTGAGCCAAGCAT